CCATGGTGCCGGAGGGAGGCTGCCGTACAGAGAGAAAAAGAGAGAGATCGGCGATGGGGAGGGGGCCGAACGTGAGAGGAGAGAAAACGAAGGCCGTGAGATTTAGGGCTCCGATACCATGTAGAAAGATTATTTTCCAATGATTATCAAAGAGAGGGTACATGTGTATATATACAAGGGAGTTTCCTAGTTGGTGTAGGAAACAATAATGGTAACCTATACAATTAAGGTAACTACAATTATTAACAATATTAAATATAGTAGTAATATATTTAACAGTTACTGAAGTGCTATCGTCTATGGACTGAAGCTATGTTATGTTACACGAGATATAAAACATACTTCAAGGCCTTTCATTCATGATAAAGTGTACAGTTATATCGGTATTTGATTGCCGCTAGGGAACCACACTGTTCGGGATCAGAGGTCTGAGCACGGGATTTTAAGTTGCAATCTGAATTAAAGACTTATTGGGATTGTGATTACATGATAATAACTCCAGCTGTACATGCTAAGGAATCCCAACACTTTAGGCTACTTGTGGATCAAGATTAAGGAAGTTGAGTTCAAGCCAACTTCTACTAACCTATTCCCACTAGAATTATGTTAAAAGAAGCCTATAAAAACGCAGCAGGTCCCTGGGAATTACTGGGAGCGATTGAGAGGGAAATCAAAGAATATACGCTGATGTAGAGCATTCCCGTCGCGTCCCAGAGCTTCCCTTGCGTGAAGAAAGATACGATCTACATGAAGAAGGAGTCCTACAATGAAAAACAGATTGTGACAACCAGGAGGTAGACAAGAGCTTAAGGAGAGGGCTGCCAACACGTTTGTCCTCGTGATCTCGGTGGAGATGTGATAGCTGAAGCGGATCTGAATAGAGTTCGGGTTAGAAATCCTAGATTATAATGAAGTTTTGTCATAACAATTCAGAGAACTGTGTCTCATCATGTTGTTATGTACCGGTGTAACTTGCATCTAGTGATTTAGTGGAGATCATTGATGATCTTTAAAAATCGGTCAAACATTCGATCAACGCTTTCAATTTCCTTCATTTTAAACAACTCATATTCATGGGTTAGAAAATCAATTTTAGCTTCACGGACTTGAGGCGTACCTTCGTATGTCACTTCAAGCTTATCCCACATTTCTTTTGCGGTGGAGCAAGAAGAAATTTTCCGGTAGTCATCCGGGTTAATTGCACAAAAAATCATGTGTTTAGCTTTTTCAAAAGCTTCTACCTTTTTGATGTCTTCAGCATCATATTCTTCCTCCTTCTTTGGGATGGTGGTTTCACCAACCTTTTTCATTGGCATCGTCTAACTGTTTTTGATGATTAACCATAGNGATCAACGCTTTCAATTTCCTTCATTTTAAACAACTCATATTCATGGGTTAGAAAATCAATTTTAGCTTCACGGACTTGAGGCGTACCTTCGTATGTCACTTCAAGCTTATCCCACATTTCTTTTGCGGTGGAGCAAGAAGAAATTTTCCGGTAGTCATCCGGGTTAATTGCACAAAAAATCATGTGTTTAGCTTTTTCAAAAGCTTCTACCTTTTTGATGTCTTCAGCATCATATTCTTCCTCCTTCTTTGGGATGGTGGTTTCACCAACCTTTTTCATTGGCATCGTCTAACTGTTTTTGATGATTAACCATAGTTGGAAGTTGATTGATTGATTGTAAATCCTCATTCGTTCCTTCCAATAGGTGTAGTTTGTTCCATCGAAGAGTTGAGGTCTAACGGTGGAGTGTCCTTCACTTAATCATGCATACGACATTCTCAACAAAAAATATAGATCGTTCTCTCAACCGGTTAAGGCTTGTAGAGAGTTAAGCTCCGATACCAATTGTTAGAATAAGTGCCCTTCACTAGAGGAGGGTGAATAGTGAGGCACGAGAATGTTTATAAATTTTCGCGGAATAAAAATCACAGGGATAAAGTAAAGAGCGGATTAAAAAGGAGTAAAGGGAGCACACCAAGATTTATACTGGTTCACCACAACGTGTGGCTAGTCCAGTCTCCCGAGAGACTCTCTCGAGCTACACTACTTCCGTTAAGCTTACGGGTGCTTAACAAACCATTACAACCTGAGAACTCGAGTCCCACGAGCCTCAATACACTTGCTCGGAGATACCACACTCCAAGACTTCAACCCGAAGGAAAATACCTTTCCTTCGTACAACCAAGGGAAACAAGCTTCCCTAAACGTGTTTACAACACTAAGAACACTCAAGAACAAGACTCTCTTTAAGAGTAGATGTTGATATGTAAAATGCAATAAAAAAATGTTTTAGCCTAAAGAGCCAAAGTGCAAAGCTTGGGTCGGTCTTGATCACATTGTGACCGACTCAACGACGCTAAAGACTACGATCTTCGTTCTTGGTCTCTTTTAGCTCTTGTTCTCTTGCTTTCTTCTTATATTTATTTCTCGCCTTGTATATTCAACGACTTGTCTCGTTCACGGCAGTTTGGCATTATCAAAACCTGTCATAAAAATGAACACGGCTTTAGTACGAAAAAGCGATAAACCCGTGTTTCAACAGAATGATGTCATTCACTCACCGAATAGAACTGTATGGTTGAACTCTCTCATTGGTTGCTCAAGGTTCTATTCTTATTTGCAACGTGCGTTTGAAACAGATAACTCATTCAAATTACAAAATAAAAACTTATTTTGATATGATGAATGAATGTAACAGGATAAATGATCTACTCAACATGGAGATACAAAAAAACAAATTACATTGGAGAAAAAAAATAAGTGGCAACAAAAAACCCCATATATATATATATATATATATATATATATATATATATATATATATATATATACACACATATATATATATATAGGGATGGCTTCTCTCTCTAGGTTTCCGGCCACTGGCAACTCGTCAGAAAACCTTAAATCCGTCAGATTACTTCCGCGGCGTACACTTTTTTCCAGCCTCTTTAAGGAAGGCCAGGATGAGATACCGGGCAAAGTCAATGGCTTCTACAAAAACACCCCCTCAATCTCCTTTACGGCAGAGGAGGAGAGAAAGCTGGTCGCGAATTTCTCATGGACGCTGGTAGGAAGATGCAGCCGCAGAATTCATCTTAATGAGATTGAAGATTTCTTGATCAAGGGTAGGTTCAAGGAGTTCAAACTACGACGTCTTCAATCCAATGAACTTCTCTTCATATTTAAACATGAAGATGATTATCTTCGATGGTTTTCACGACGGAGGCGAAACATCAATGGATGCATCATCACTTTTTTGTAAATGGACGCCGGAGCATGAGCCATCAGTGGACTCACCCTACTTCCCATATGGGTCGAATTGGGGAATTTTCCCATCCACCTCAATGATCACAAAGCTATCTTCTCAGTAGCCTCTGCCCTTGGGAAGCCAATCAAATTCGATGCAAACTCCGTCATTGGGGTTAAACCTGATCGGATTAGAGTCTGTGTGGAAAGGGATTTATCCATCCCCTTCCCTCCTCATATCCATCTCATACTGGGAGCTAAAGATCGTTGGCTACAATGTAAATTTTAGAATCCCCCCTCTACTGCAATGTATGTCGCAGATTTGACCATAATACTCAAGCCTGCCGGAAAAAGTTACCGGAAAACCTCCCTCAAAATGCTTCGTTCAAGGAGGTGGGCCAGCTTTGAGCGGATGCACCCATGAATACTCACAATGATTGGAAAATGGTCTCTAACAAACGACACAGCAAGTCTGGGAAAGCAACCTTGGTGGGCCCTTACACCAACCATATTGCCATACAAGGGCCTTTTATATACAAACCAATACTCCAACAGGGTCTGGACAAACGAAACCTGCGTAGGAGATCAGAGGGAATCCCCACATTTTCAAATACTCATGTCCAAGTTGGTGAACCCTCTATCAACCATACAGCCAAACAGGTTAATTGGGAGGACCTGATGCCTACAGTGGAAGATGTTATTGAAGATGATATCTCTCTTACCCCTCGCACCAAAAATAAGTCTAATTTCAGCAAGCCTTACCACCAGCCCTGACCCTCTACATGACCTCTCATTCCTCCAAGTCCACAAACCTCAACCATGCTTGGACATTATTCCTTTTAACCCATTCCAGGAGGACTCTTACTCGCTGGGAGTCTTCTCACCTCCAAACATTGAACTTCCTAGATCGGGTAGCAAAGATGACTGTTGGATCAATGCTCAGCTTCAAACTACTTGGGAAACCAAGTTTGACAATAGCTCCATTTTGGAGGAACCCGTCCCTTTTGTTTGCCACTCTGATGGAGGAGAAGGTGATGCACCTTTCATCACATCCCCCCTACCCCCTTTCATTTGGACGTTAGTAGATGTTCAAAGCAATCTAGCTATTCCGTTCCCCAAGCACCGTAGAGTCAAAAAAGACATTCCACTATCATCGGTGATGACTCGAAGCAAGACTTCTAAGGATGTACCCCCTCCCAAGTTTCTTTTATGAAACTCCTCTTCTGGAATGTTTATGGGGCTGCCTCCTCTCTCAGCAGACTTATTTCCTTAAGGAGTGCACACTACTTGGACTATCTTTGCATTCTGGAACCACCTATGGTTAACCCCTCTCAACTGGAATCTTTCCGTATTAAATTCAACTTCTCCCACTGTCTTGGATCCCATAATAATAAGAAATGGCTCTTTTGGAATGAGTCATGATTTAAACTCAGCTCCTTTATTGACTCACCTCAAGTAACCAACTGCATTTTCACCCTTCAAATGGATAATTCCCCTATTATGATCTCTGCAATTTATGGCGCCCACACAGTCATGGCCAGGAAGGAACTTTGGAATCAACGTTGTGCTCTCTGTCCCTCTAACAAACACTGGATTGTAGGATGCGATTTTAACGCCATTACCTCCCCCCATGAATCCAAAGGCACTTGCAGCCCAAGCCCCTCTAGTATGGAGGACTTCAACTCCTGCATCCTTCAATGTAAACTCATCAACCTTGATCCTCATGGTAGTATTTACACATGGTCAGGAGTTCGTTCCCAAGGGAGAACATGGCGTAGGCTTGACAGAGTGTTGATTAACTTGGAACTGCTTGCTCTCTTCCAAGATGTGGAACTTCATCACCTGGCCAAAACAAATTCAGACCACAAACCCATTCTCCTCCACTGTAACGACCAGATTCCCAATACTATCAAACCCTTCAGATTTCTGAACTCCTGGACCCTTCATGAGAGCTTCCCCAACACTGTCAAAGAAGCTTGGACAACCTGCCCTACCATTGGAGGTATGAGAGGTCTCCTTCACAAGCTCCAAACCGTGAAACACACACTGAAGAAATAGAATAAAGAGACCTTCGGGAACATCCACTCTAAACTTAAGGAAGCTGAAGCAAAAGCTATCCAAAGCCAAAAAGCTTTTGAGGATGCTCCAAATGATGTAAACAGAACTACTGCGCAAAGGGACAATGCTGCACTTATTCTTGCAACCAACATGGAAGTTGAATATTGGAAGCAAAAGTCTCAAATTAGATGGCTAGATAAGGGAGACTCTAACACCAAGCTCTTCCAAGCTTTTGCTAAAGGGAAACGGAAGAAGCTTCAAATTTCTCACATAATCGATGGAAATGGTAATGGGCTCCATAGCATGGATGAGATCAAGCAAGAAGCTATCAGACATTTCCAAAACCAATTCCAAGCTCCAAAAACCCCCAACCCAAATCTGGAAAGTACTCTCCCCTACATCTGCTCCCTCGTCTCCACTGAAGACAACCTCATGCTCACTGCCCTTCCAAGCTTGGCTGCAGTAAACGAAACAGTTTGGGATTTTGATCCTAATAGTGCCAGTGGCCCTGATGGGTTTAATGGAATCTTCTTTCGCACTTGCTGGGATTTAATCCAACAGGATGTCCTCACTGCCTCCCAGGAATTCTTTCTTGGCCTCCCAATCCCCAAAGGGTACGACAGTACCATAATCACCTTGATTCCTAAAAAAGATCCTAAACGACTGGATGATTATAGGCTCATCTCCCTCTCAACTTTTATCAGCAAAATTAATACTAAACTACTTGCCAACAGGCTTAAGAAGTTGCTCCCCAAAATCATCTCACCGGAACAAGGGGCTTTCCAGAAAGGTAAATCTATTGACGACCATATTCTCCTAGCTCAAGAAGCCATTCATGGACTAGATAGAAAGGTTTTTGGGGGTAATCTTATTATCAAAATCGATATGGAAAAAGCATTTGACAGTATGAATTGGAACTTTCTTGAGGGCATTCTTAGAGCTTTTGGCTTCTCCCAGGCTGCCATCAACCTCCTAATGACAAACCTACGCAACACTCTCATTAGTATGCTCATTAATGGGGAACCCCAAGGTTTCTCTGCCATGTCCAGAGGAGTGAAACAAGGCGATCCCCTCTCTCCACTCCTTTTCATAATCTGGTTTGAAGCCTTCTCTAGACTTCTAAACAACTCCATGGACCGCAATACTATCAAACGTTTCAACATGGGCATTGTGAAGATGCCTAGTCACCTTATCTATGCAGATAACTTGATGGTATTCACTAAGGGGGACATCCTCAACCTCCTTAAACTTAACAATATTCTTAAAGTATATAAGCAGGCATCAGGGCAGCAGATTAATCTTTCAAATAGCAGGTTCTACACTCCCAAATCCATCTCTACGGATCAACAAGCCAGAATGGCGAAAGCTCTGTCCATGAACTGTGGTAGTCTCCCCTTCACCTACTTGGGAGCTACCCTTCGTAGGGGTATTCTTAAAAAAGTAGACTGCAATGGTCTTTTAAGCCATGTCTACAAACACCTCTCCTCTTGGTACAGCCGCACTCTCAATCAAATGGGAAGATTAATCCTCATAAAACACGTCCTCTCATCCATCCCACTCCATCTCATTGCCGTTCAATCCCTCCCAAGATCCATCATCAGAACTCTACATTCCCTTATGGCCAACTTCCTTTGGGGCCAAAAGGATGGTAGGGCTAAATACCACAGGAGGAACTAGAATTTCACATGCCAAAACAAGAATGCAGGTGGCCTAGGTATCAGGGACCTTCTTGACATTGAGACAACATACTCTCTCAAACTTTGGTGGAAAGCCCAGCACGATCAAGGTCTGTGGGCTAAACTTGTTAGAGCAAAGTATATGAAGAACGGTAACATCAAGGAACGCCTCCCAGATTCCCCAACTTGGAAGAGAATATGCAGAGTACACTCTCTTGGTACAACTCATATGCATTGGAACAATGAACAAACACTTTGGGATAATGGACAGTTCCCCTCAAACTTGCTTTTAATGCCACTGAAGAGAAACTCCTTGTGCTCCTCTCAACCAAATTTATTTGGCACAAAGAACAAATCCCAAAACTGCGTTTCTTCCAATGGAAGATCTTCAACAACTGTCTTCCTTTCCCTAACAACCTCAGAAGATTCAACCTAGCACTACCTAGTCGTTGCAGCTTCTGCCTCAACCACGAGGAAAGCTTGGATCACTGCCTCCTGAACTGCACCGAGAGCAAAAAAGTATGGAACTTTTTTGCACATCTTGTTGATGCTCCCATGCACACCTCAAACCTGCTGCTACGCCAACATGCAATCTCATGGTGGGTAAGAGGTAACTTGAAAAGTTTCAAAGGTGCCTTGAGAATTATACTCCCAGGTTTCATCTCATGGAATCTATGGAAGGCGCGTAATGCATATACATATGATGGGATAAAAATGAATCCACACGGAACTATCCACCAAATACGCAAGCTCATTCAAGCCTGGGCATGGACTCACAGGCAAAAGAAGTGGTTGATTCATGACAAAGACTTTGATGATTGGGAGATTGATAAATTCTGGCGGAAAGGAACAAGACATCAACTTCATTCTAATTTTTAGACCTCTTTTGTATTTCGGTTTCCTCTCAGAACCTGGTTGTAACTCTCTTTATCTCAATAAAGTTCCTTTAAAAAATAATTATATATATATATATATAGACACACACACACACAGAGTATATTGCAGTGGAAGAACAGAACAAGAACAGCACACCTGCTATATGTGATCTGGTTTAGTAATACTCTGTGGAAAAATTCAATACGAATATGTATTTCAGATCGGCTTTGGCCATGCGTTCTATGGCGGTGTTGACATAGTCCATCGCCACAATCTCAACATCGGGTGTGATGTTACGTTGGCTGAGAAGTTCATCATTTCTTGAGTCTCCTTTATTTCACCGATGCCACTTCCTGCAACAAGTTTTCTGCCTGCGATCCACAATCACAACATGAAATTAATATCATTTAGTTCATTTTAGATCAATGCCAAGGCGGAGCAGAGATATGTACAACACGTGAATGGAAGTGTGGCTAATATTACATACCCATGATCAAGGGAAACGCCGACAAGTCAGGGGGTTTCTGTGGGAGACCAACCAATACAAGCAAATCAAGAAATCAAACTTCAAGAACACGTAGTGAACAGTACAAACAAATCCTACAACCCAACATAAGCAAACGAGGATAAAGGATAAAAAATCCAACTTCAAAACTTGAAAGTGCACTCAAGGTTGTCAAAAATATCCAAAGTATGGCCTCCAATTGATTTTGAATCGACTACCGTGGCCCGGAGGTCGCCGGAATTGCAGCCCGACTTGCCCAGAGAAGAATCGGGTTGCCGTTGTTTGGGCTTGGGCGAAATTGACGGTGGAACTCGTCACTTCCCTGTAATCTGTCGGGGGGGAGGAGAATCACCGCGCAGGGCGTCCTCGTCACTATTTCCGGTGGCCATCGTCGTCATCGATTTCTCCTTGCCATCAGGAGGCAGTTGCCGATTGGGGAAGGTTGGAAAAGGAGGTCGGGGAAGTCTCGCCGGAAGGACCTTCCCTCGTCACTGATTATCGATTCCCGTCGTTCGATCAAAGGGTTGGCCGGCCGCATCCTTGCTCTATTGCTGGTCTTCCTCGCCGTGGATGTCCATTGGTCTGGTGGTGTCGCAGGCCAGCGCTATTGTCAGCCTTCTTGCCGTCTGGAAGCAGCTTGAAGAAGAAGACAGAAGAAGAGAGGCGGTGGCGGGCAGTCTTCGATCTAGAAGAAGAGATGCGAATTTCCTTTTGTATGTGGGGTTTTTACTTTGTAATTTAAAATAATGTGTCTGAGTAAAACACATTTTTCGGACTAACATGCTCCGAATTAAAATCTGTTTGCGTCGTTGGATTCGATTAGTCGATCTTATCCAACGATATAATGTTTATAATAAATGACCAAGAATTTACAAGTTTCACCTGGCCCGTCTTGATTCTTTCGATTAATTAACACTGATCAGTCTTTTAGTTTAAATATTTACAAATAAAATCTGATTACTTTCGTTTTATTGAGACGATTAGAATCTCTAAGGTATCTTTTAATCCTTAAAATGAATAGGTTGTCGTAAATAGATAATTCTTATTTATTTAATTATTGATTAACTTCTATGTCGGTTTCTAGGGCGTTACATCGTAGGCGTTGATTAACTCTCATACGATGTCAAAAATATTTCATCTTTTAGAATAATTTTATAAATTAATAAAATCTATTTACTTGTATAGGTTGTGTCCTATTTGTCTGATCTAATCTTTAAATGCATCACTTGGAACTAATTAGATCGAATCACACCAAAACAGATCAAATCAAATCCAATTCAAATCCTAAAAGATCAGATCAAATCTTCAAAGAAAATCTATTCACTTGTATAGGTTGTGTGCTATTTGCCTGATCTAATCTTTAAATGGATTAGATTAAATCTAATTAGATCAAATCAGACCAAAATAGATCTAACCAGATCGAATCAAATTCAAATCCAATAAGATCAGATCAATTCCTTCAAAGAAGATTTATTCACTTGTGTAGGTTGTATCCTATTTGCCTCATATAATCTTTAAACACATTAAATCGGACCTAATTAGATTGAATTAGACCAAAACAGATCTAATCTGATTGAATCAAATTTGAATATAATAAGATCAGATCAAATCTTCAAAGAAGATCTATTTACTTATATACGATGTGTCCTATTTCCCTGATCTAATCTTTAAATGCATCGGATCATACCTAATTAGATCAAATCAGACAAAAAAAATCTAATCAAATTAAATTCAAAACCAATAAGATCAGATCAAATCTTTGAAGAAAATCTAAACTTTTATATAGATTGTGTCCTATTTTCCTGATGTAATTTTTAAAACAATCAGATCGGACAAAAACAGATCTAATCGGATCAAATCAAAATCAAAACCAATAAAATCAAAACCAATAATATCCAATTAGATCTGTTTTGGTCTTATTTGATCTAATTAGATCAGATCTGATGCATTTAAAGATTAGATCAAGCAAATATGACACAAAATATACAAGTAAAAAGATATTTTTAAGATTTGATCTGATCTTATTGGATTTGAATTTGATTTGATCCACTTAGATATGTTTTGGTCTGATTCGATCTAATTATATCCGATCTGATGAATTTAAAGATTTGATCAGCCAAATTGGAACTATGCATGTAATTAGTTTAGTTATCAGTATCGGTATGATGTTATACGGTAAAAAAATGGGTATCTTGTGGAATTAGATCCATGTGAGTAAGAAATTCAATTAACAAAAAAATGTATAACTAATTTATTATTTTACTATTGTAGTGGTAACGGTTAGTTATTTTCACTATTTATTTTTTTTGAAACTCATCTTGTACTATTATGATAACGGTCCGGTTTGATTCAGGATATAATTTGTTAGAACCATTTGAAAACTCACTTTTCGGTTCGGTACATTATCGTTCCAATTCAAAACAATATCGAACCGGTGGCTATCGTACTCCTAATTGAAAGTGGTACATAAGAGAGAAAATTTTTGGACCAAAAAACTTTTTAGTTTCAAAAATCAGATTGATGCTTCTAAAAATTTTCAAGTTCATCTCAAGTTTTAGAATCCCTCCTTATTTTTCATTGCCCGCCTAATATGCTCCCCCCAATCTCGCAATTAGGTCAATTGCGTCCCCTTCAGAATATGTTGTCTTCGATAGGTTTGTCACAACCATCTCTTTGTCCCCGCTGACCGCCACTCCGTCCGGCGACCAGTGCTGAGGGATACAACCTCTTTCCAGTGCTTTCCGGTGCTTCGTCTGCCACTCTTTCCGCTAGTATTTTGGTTACTCTCGATTCAATTCTAGAGCTCAAGATACAACCCTTGCTAGCTTGTAGTCCTAAATCAGGTTTATGACTTTTAATTTTTTCCCAGTATGATGAGTTTGCATAATTAATTTTCTCACGAGGGTTTGAGCAGCCAATCGGCCTTTTGATTCATTAGTCTATAATATTTGACTTTGTTTCTTTTCTGAATTAGTTTTGTTTTTAATGTTTGGTTAAATTTTATTATCAATTTGGTGTGAAGTTTGACTCTTTGGCATTTGGAGCTTCTCTCCGTTCTTGTGTATTTGAAGCTTCTTTCAGTTCGATTGTATTTGTACTACAAGAATTCATCATCTATACCCTCACAATTATCCTTTTTAGGTTTTGTGCTTTTAATAGAACCACAAAGTTCACTTCCACCCTAAATGTCTTGTGTTCTTCAAATTCACCCTTGACCATATACACTGGAACTCCTAATCATTTTCCCTTTTCAATGGGAATACAATAAGTTCTTCTCTATCGCCCCTTGTATAAAAACACTATATCCGGACCCCATTTGATGGGAGGTTGATTCCAAGCATTGACGGCTGATGAACCAAAACTGTGAGGAAATGATATGCCTGCCTCATGTAAGCTGACGAGAATGTTTAGCAGGTACTTGAGCAACAAAACGGGATTCATCAAAAAGCGACAAAAAGGATATCGTACTAGCAGTTGTGTGAACTTCTTGTTTAGTGTGCAACTTTGCTTATTAAAAACTGAAAAATTTGCTTGTATCAACATTGTCATATAGTTGCTTCTCTTAACAGCATGCCTATCTTTTCATTCTTTTGTCTCTGTTTGTAGTCTATGGTTTCTGTTAGCCTTTTGGGCAATGATACTATTAGGGTTTTATTGTGGGAAGTTTCTATATCTTCAGGTGAGATGATTATTCTATTTTTTGTTTGGATTCCTCTTTTAATCAAAAGGGGTTGCCTGATTATGAAATTTAAATTGAATTAATCAAAAGTGGTGATTGAGAAATTGAGAATATTGGTTCAGGTGTTCATTATGAAGATTTGAGTTTGATTGAAGAAGTGCATTCAATTGCACTAAGTTATCACACTTATTTTCACTCGGCTCAAGATTCTTAGGGAGGAAGTGGTCAAAGTTATTACCACAGTGGGGCTGTCCAACATGGTTACAGATATGGAATTGGTGTTCTACATCCACACCTGCACACCTGCCCTAGGCACAACTCATGGTTTTAATGAGGAGTTTTGCCCAAATAGTGATCAAGTTCCCTTCATTTTGGAAGCTGACACTCTGCCTTGTATGACCCTGCACATAAATTATGCCTTATCTCCATAGAATCCAAAGGAAATCTAGTTGATGAACCAAATTACTACACCTGCACTGGTCTTGAGGATGTAGCATTTTATGATTCTCTAATTGAACCACTTGCCATTGACTGCTCTAAATGTTCCAAAGTCAGCATGATTTTACCAAGGGTGATAAAATCATGGCTAGGTCTATGATGAGTTGGTATTGATATTAGCTTATATGGTGAATCATTGTTTAAAGATGCTACAGTTTTAATTTGTCTACTGAATCTAGCCTATGTAGCTTGGTCTCTTTGTCTTAGCTGCCTTTTGAGTGTATTGATAGGTCTATTACAAGGTTTTTTGAATTTGGCCTTTTGAATTTATGAGGGGCTTTGATGTGGTCCTCCCCTTTGTATTTGGTTTTCTGCTTCTTTCTGAATAAAATTTGTTTTTCTTTAAAAGTGTGTGTGTGTCTATATAAATATATATATACACATAATGATTTTTTTAATAAAGAGAGAAATTTAAAGACGCTATATTCTATCATAAAAACTTATACTGTAATTTTTTTATAATACTTAATAGTATTAAATGAATTTATGACAAGATTTTTCCTCATTAAAAGAACATTTTTATGAGGGTTAAAATACTCGCATTAAATATGTGATTTATAAAGTTTGTCAATAAATAATGAAAATTATATCATTATGTAGAGTTAGACTATCTGATCCCAACAGCTCAATCGGATTTCAATTTGGAGAAAGTTAGACAAAAAAGTGTACCCGAACTGGGACCAAAATTAGTCCCAATCAGAGACTACACACCAAACGGCGCCCTGTTCGATTACACCGATTCCAGATTCGTCGCTCAATCACGGAAGCTGTAAACCTGTGTCTTCTTCTTCTTCTCTGGGCTATTTAAGGACAACCCAACTCCCTCATTTCATCACCAAAACAACTCATTCTTCCTTCTATATTGTTCCTTGCTGAGAGTAGAGTGCAGTGGTGTTGTCATCTTTGTGAGGTCGCCGGAGCAGTGAGCTAGAGTCGCCGGAAGTTTCGCCGGGAAATCTTCAAAACCTCCCTTACGCTTCAAGGTATGCCCGTAGATATATCTAAAGACTAGAATGTTCATGTAGGTTGTTTTTACGTTCATAAATAGTCGTTTGGTTGAGTTTTGTGTTTGACATGTTTGAAGAACAAAGAATCATAAACCTTGAATTTGATGTTAAAAATATGTAATGATTCTAAAATGATCTATGAACCTGGGAGAACAATTCTATATAATTTAATTAAAGTTTGGTTATTAAAAATGATAATACTCGAAACTGACCAGAGGAAGAAGATGATGAACAGTAGCCGAAAATAGATTATTTACTTCTTAAGAATCGATTAGAATTCATTATGTCCAGATGAGGATGTTCGAAGTTAGTATATAATCGATTATTTTAAATATAAAAATTGATTTAAAAAGTATTAATCGATTATTTTAAAACTAAAAATCAATTTTTAGCAATTAAGTGATTATTCAAAATATAAAAAGCGATTTTTAGCAATTAATTGATTATTTTAAATATAAAAATAGATTTTTAGCAATTAATTGATTATTTAAAATATAAAAATCGATTTTTAGAAATTAATTGATTATTTAAAATATAAAAATCGATTTTTAGCAATTAATTGATTATTTAAAATATAAAAATCGATTTTTATCTATTAATGGATTATTTTAAATATAAAAATCGATTTTTAGGTATTAATCGATTATTTTAATATAAAAATCGATTCTCCTCAAGTCCAGGTTCTGTTCTGAAAATATGCTCTAAAATCTTATTTTTGATACCAATTGAGTATGATCATTATAAAAATGATTTTTCATAATGAAAATGATGTTTTTAAGAAATTAAAATATTATGTGATGCATGACGGTAAGTTTGGATGTTAACACTCGAGACTAGGCCGCTAATTGTTATTAAACGTTATGTTGAATGATCATTATGATGAATAATTATTATGGATAATTATGAATGATAAAGTTTTTGATTAGAATGATTATTGATGACTTAATCATAATTAAAAAATGGATATATTGATAATCATAATGAGAACGTATTGTTAAGGTTATCTAGAACAAACTCTAAGATATACCCATAATGAAATTGATGTTGAAAGATATCTAGAAGAACTCTAAGATATACCTATTTAAGTTAGGCCTTGCGGATATGATGCCCGGTGGCTAGGGTTAAAATGTACGTGCGGGATGCAAGAACCAAACTTGAGTACCTACTCGTTTGGGGGTACCACCCAACCCAACAGTGAACACTACACTGTCGGTTTTTGGTTGACCTTAAGCGAAGGTAAGTTTAATATTCGAAAACTCTTTTTACAAATATATCTTAAACTGGACCTAGTTTAAGGATTAGAATATCTTGAACTAGAATTAGTTTAAGAATGAAATTGACCTTAGACTAAGCATAGTTTAAGGATATTGTTGAATATTGAATATTAAATATGAATGTTGAATGTTGAGATATCAAAATAAAAATATCGAGAATATCATGAATGAATTATATATTGTGTGCATGATATCAAATGGTTGTTTCTGAATTGAGATTCAATTTTTGTGGATGTTCGATGCTTTAGATATGCTTACTCAGCTTCATCGCTGAGCGTGTAGTATGTTTTATTTGCTACACGCAGGTAGGCAGAATGAATGATTGGCATGTTCCTGGCATCAGAAGGGGCGAGACTATCGTGGTGGAATTTGTGATTTTAAAATAAATAATTGTGTTGTTATTAAACATGGTTTAAATTGCTTCCGCACTATTGTTAAACACTCTGTATTTTGCTACAGTTATGTATTAAATAATATTTATGATGAATAAAAGTATTTTGAAATGTTTTAAATTTTACGATTACCAAGTTAATACTTTAGTCCGAAAGGGGCTACAGACCTGGACGGATTAGGGTGTTACAATTTGGTATCGGAGCAAATGGTTTTAAAACCGATCTTCGGATCAAAAAAAATTTAAAAATTATATTTATATATATTATATATGTAACACCCTAATCCGTCCAGGTCTGCAGCCCCATTCGGACTAAAGTATTGATTTGGTAATTGTGATAATTTAAAACATTTCAAACACACTTTATTAATCTCAATAATATTTTTCATAACATATACAGTACGGAGTAGTTAACAATATTGCGGAAGCGAATTTAATATTGACATTTCATAATTCATTTCAAAACTTGTCACATCCATCCCGACAATCTCGCCCCATCTGCCGCCAGGATCACATTGTGCTTTCTGCTTACCTGCTTGTAGCAAATAAAACACACTACACGCTCAGCGGTAAAGCTGAGTAAGCATATCTAATGCGTCGAACATCCATATAAACTGAATCTAAATTCATAATCAAATCATTTGATATCATGCACACAATGTTCATTTCAGACATTCACAGTTTTGGTATTATTCAGTTCATATCAACACATTTTATTCAATTCAGATATTAATCCAATAGTGCTCTTAAATTATTCTTAATCTAAGGCCA